CGGACGGATTCCCTGCCAACTGCCCAACTTTCAAAGGGCATATCTCACTCATACGAACTCGGAATCGAGCAAACTCAGTGGCGTTGGAAAGATCGTTCCACGAACTTTGCAACCATAACTGGAATTCCACCTAACTCATCCTGAGCTAGAATTTATGGCTGTTCAAAGTTGGCCAAAAATTCACATTTTCCATACTTAGCCAAAATTTCCAAAACTTTAAAATTCTTTCCAAAAATGAAAATTTCCAATTCTAAGCCTCTTCAATTATTTCGTATTGCCGGATGTTACACATTGACAGATTCATAAATATTGCAGCCTTTAGATATCCAATTTCCGGAGGTAAAGATCCAACCATGTTGTTTGACGATAAGTCAAGCTCTATTAGATCTTTAAGATTTCCTAAGCTTGTTGGTATATTGGAACTCAATTTATTGGAATCCATATATATATATTTTTAAGAGAAGTAACATTCCCTAAACAATTAGGAAGAGATCCTGAAAGTTGATTTTGATCCAAATCAATAACACCCAAATGCTGCAATTTACGGATATGATCTCCAATAAATCCTGTAAGTTTGTTGCACGGAAATGACATTCCCTGAAGGTTTCTCAAGTTGTGAATTGATGTAGGAATTGATCCAATCAAGTTATTATTAGAAAGATCAAGGTCTATTAAATTGGTTAAGTTTCCAACTTCATTTGGAATCTGACCGTTAATGTTGCAAGCAGCCGCATAAAAGTTTACAAGAGATTTGGAGAAGTTCCGTACGGAGACCGGAAGCATGCCATTTAGAGGGTTCAAAGATAGAGAAAGAACTGTTAATCTTCTGCAATTGGTTAAGGAAGTGAGGAAGCTTAATGAGGAGTCGCTGCTGGTTAAATTATTTCCCCCCAAGTTTAGGAAGTGTAGATGAGTCAAATATCCAAGAGAATTGGGAATCAAGCCACTGAGTTTGTTACCTGAAAGCTCTAGATGAGCAAGTTTGGAACAATTGGAGATGGAATGAGGTTGGTTAAGTCATTCATATAAAGCTCTTCAATGTTGGGTAAGGTAGAACCTATGTTTGGTGGTAGAGTTCCTCATACATTGTTGTCTGAAAGTTGAATTGTTCTCAGTCGTGATATGTTGAAGATCTCCATTGGAAGTGAACCACTAAAACTATTAAACCCAACATCAAATTCCTCCAACTCAACTAGATTTCTTATATCTTTGGGTATTTCACATGTCAACACGTGAAGAAAGAACTAGCTCAATACAGATCACTATAACTTTGAATACATACCAGTAAATCTATTCTCGTCTAGGTATAATAATTGCATCTTGGTTAAGTGGCCAATCTCCCGTGGTAAGGATCCCTTGAGATTGTTCTCCCTTAGTAAAACAATTTGCAACGATGAGATATTAAATATGGAGATCGGGATAGAGCCGGTAATCTGGTTACTCTCCACGCCTAACTCAACCAAATTAACAAGATTTCCAATTTCTTGTGGAATTATCCCTGCATTTATTTTAATGTGTAATAAAAAGATGTGAGGTGATTAATTAGATACAATAGTACTAGCATTCATAAGATAAAACATATATACCTGTGAAATGGTTAGATCCAAGATACAATTCCTGCAAGTTACTCAATCTTCCAATTTCAGTACGTATTCGTCTGTCAAACTCATTGCCTGATAAATCCAATATTTGAAGTTGTGAACAATTTGACAAGCTTGTAGGCATATGACCATGAAGCTTGTTTCCGGTTAGATGAAGCCCTTTGAGTAATGGGAGACGATTGCATAAGCCATTGGGAAGATCTCCTGATAATCTATTATCTGTAAATGCGATGACTTCAATTCTAGAAATATTGAAAATTGTGAATGGTATAGAACCCGTAAGCTGATTAATTTCCATGGACAAGTATTTCAGGTTGTGAAGATTGCCAATCTCTTCCGGGATGTTTCCTTCAAGTAAATTGGCAGATATTACTAAAGTCTCCAACCTTGAGGCATTCGAGAGTGACGGAGGAATGGAACCAGTGAAACTGTTATACCTAAGATATAGATATTGAAGTTGGTCTAAAAACCCAAACCAAGAAGGAACCTCCCCACTGAATTTGTTCAAACTTAAATCAAGAAACTTAAGTTGACGCAAGTGTACCATTTCTTGAGGCAAATTTCCATGGAATTTGTTCCTTCTCAAGTCAAGAGAAACAAGAAATGTGAGGTTTCCAAAATCACGTGGAATTGTGCCTGTAAGGATCATGTTGGAAAGATTCAAGGACTTCACTCTCTGGTGACGATAGTCATAAGTGACTCCTACCCAATGACAAACATAAGTAGCAGGAGACCAACTTTCATCCAAGTAATGAAAAGGGTCGGAACTAATTTGAGATTTCAAAGACAGAAGAGTTAATTGATCCGTAGAAACGTTGGTACGCGTCATGGCTGAAGTAGGCATAACATAGTGAAACAACAAGAGTAATGTTAAGAGAAAAGATCTCAAGGCCTTCTCCATATTTAATTTGTAGGAAAATGGTATGACTATTAGGAGACTTTGCTTTCGAATCTATTTTTTAACAGATCAGTATTAACGAAACTAAAAATGTGTCTTTTATTTGTTGTTGTTGTCAGTTAGATATCCGGAGTGTTGAAACCACTCAGTTTAGATAAGTAGATAAAATTTTCAAGTTATGTGGTGCACAAATATGACAATATTTGGTGCCATCTTCGTTACATATATATCATGTTAAATTATTTTAGCACAACTTTCCATTGTCTTCTTGTTGTTGTTTTCACTTTGTTGAGGATGATTAAAAAAAAAAAAAAACTCTGAATTATGCCAAGTCTTGCTTTCATTAAAGTTGCGCTACATTACTACATCTAATTTTCTTTTAGAAAAATTTCAAAATATATCATATTATCTAGGGGTATGCAAAAACCGAATATATAAATATTGATAAACCAAACTGAAAAAAATGTTATTGTTTTTATTGATATTGGGACGGTTTATTATATTAACCTGGACAATTTGACTTAAGTATCTTCTCTCTTCTTCTAATATACAATAATTTCTCTAATTGATTACTTGGTATGCCATCTTTAATTTCGGGAGATTAATTAAGAATTAGTTTGGCAGAAAGAGCACCAACTTTAATTTGCTTAAAGAATTATATTCCCGAACTAAATAGAGAATAAATAAGAAACTAAAAAATCAAGATCAAAAGAAGGCAGTGAAGACATACCATTAAGGGCATTTGAATTGAGGGATCGTTTTTCTGAGTCCCGTTATTAAACATACTCAACGCAACCACCTAAAAGGTGCTGATAATATAATTAAATAATAAAAGTGTGCTTTATCTAACAACGTAAGCTTTTAGATGAGATGGTCACACACTTCAAGGTATCAGAGCAGGCAAAGGTCCTGAGATCGAATCCCACCGCCTCCCAAATAAAAAATTTCCACGTGCTTGGCCCAACTCTCTCTAAGTGGCATAAATCAATCATATATTACTATAAGTAGGAACAAAAAAAGTTGAAAGTTGAAATACCAAATATCCCTATAAAATTGAATTACTACAATAATGCCATAAAAAAAACTACTCTAAATTAAAATGTTATAAAATATTTATTTAATTATATTTAGATAGTAATTTTATAATATTATAGTATACAACACTAGAAAACCCAAAAGTTGTAGTAAATACTATTCATACAATTAATAAATCAATTAATAGTAAGAGACTATATACATTTAACCGTATGTCATTAGTATATGAATAACTTGGATGTTTAGGCTTCTCCTTTATAGTTTCGTGAAACATGTATTTTGAATTTCCATAGACTTAGCAATGTGTATGTACTATATCCTGAACTTTGTATCACTTCTTTAGTACTTAATTATGTTTATTTAATGTCAATCTTGAATTGCTTCATCTTCCAATCTTTATTGCATTATTAAATTTTGAAATGTCAATATACATGTAATCAATCAAGGATTTATTTTTCTCATAAAATATACCCAACTTTTTCATTCATTTTCTCCATACACGAAGAGTTTAGAAGTTATAACCATAATTTTTTTTTTAGGATTTATTTATTTTCTACTTTAATTATGTGGGCTCAAGGACTTGACCAATTGAAACAAACCAAATCAACAAGTCTTGCAAATTCATGGGGAAGTAAGTAAAATTGTCCATAAAAATATAACATTGATCCTTGCTTTATTTTCTGACAGAGATGGCGTCAGAATTTGAATTTTAAATTCTAGGCTAGTGACATCTGGTGGTGTTAATTATGACCTGTTTCTAAATTTAAATTTTATACATAATTAGTGAATTTTTATATACAAATATTGAATTTGGATTAAATCCATCCCACACATACTAAAGTCTGGACACAAATGTGTATTTTGCTTGTGTGGGCATGTCAAGAATTCAACTCTTGACATTAATTTTTAACGCAAATATAAAATTTGACCCAAAGTTACCGAGTTCCATCAAGTAGCTATCATTGTGATTCTACCCTGCAAATTGTACAACATTTTTAAACCCGCGAGTAGATAGGACCCTGCACATATTACAGCTTTATGACTACTAATCCTGTCAAATAACAATTGGATATAATAAATAATACTACTTGTATTAATCTCTCAACGAAATATAAAAGGCATTATACATAGATATGCCCTTTAACTTTGCCTCATTTTATATTTATGTCCTCCAACTTTGAGTATGCACAACTAGACACTTAAACTTGTATGGAATTATTTAAATAGACACACATGTCCTATGTGACATCCTACATGACAATTTGCGTCCTACGTGTTGCTCTATGTGTATTGTGCCACATATGATTAATGTGTCTACTTGTTCAACTTTATATAAGTTTAAGTGCCTATTTGTGCATACCCAAAGTTTGAGGGTATAAATGTGAAATGAAGCCAAGTTAAAGGGCATATATATGTATTATGCCAATATAAAACTCTGCATATTAATGCATACATATGAAAATAACTTTCAAGTACTTTTAATTATTGAACCGTACCAAAGAGGCAGGTCTAGGATCCGATCGATTGTATTGTTCCTAGTAGTTGAGAAAAGTTCTGAATTATGTCATTCGCAAAATGGTGAGTACCAGAAAGCTTGAGTTATATAAAACAGAAAAATATATTCAACAAAACACAGCTCTGGATTCAAAATGTGCCACCATGAGACTTAAAGATAAATTGAATAAAGCAAATCAGAGATATGGACAACAAAGCAAATCAAGTTCCACCATTTTGCAAATGAAACAGTGAGACTTATTGAAACCAATCAGCGTTACAAAACAGCATCAAACGCAAATCAAGGGCTAAAACAAAAAACACAATCTTTACATGAATCCAACAATTTAGCTAACAATTGCAACAAACAAGTGATCGATTCGGAACAAGAGATTTAGAGAACATGCTCAATATGCAAGAAGTTGAATCTTGATCTTCTGTAACATCCCTGCAACATCTTTCATATTCGTCCTTCTTGCTGGAGATTCAGCACAGCAATCTAATGCCACTTTCATGATTGATGCCAAAACATCTAGCTCCTTCTGTAAGCGATTATCAGTTGCTGTAACCAAGTTGGCATCTATAACATCCATTACTGCCTCTGGAGTGAATAACTCACCCATTGCTTCAAGTTAAGATCTCCCTCAAAATCACTAGGCTTTCTCCTAGTAAATGTTTCCAGCAACATAATCCCGTAACTATAGACATCGCATTTACTGACACCAGTCCATCCAGTCCATACTCTACAGTCAAACAATTAATTTAAAGATGCAATATACTTTCTTGATTGAAAAACAAAAAGACGAAAAATTAATGCTCAAATTAGCAAAAACAAAGAGACGCACCCGGTGCAATATAACCAAATGTTGCTAAGGTTTTTGTGTATAAATCACTCTCATCTTCACCAAGCAGTTTTGAAATACCAAAGTCGCTTAGGTGGGCAACCATATCCTCATCCAGCAAGACGTTACTAGGCTTTAGATCACAATGAATCACGGGCGAGGAGCAACCATGGTGAAGATATTCCAATGCACATGCCACATCTATCATAATACTTAGTCTCTGCCTGATGTCTTGGAAGTAGTTGTGCGAATACAAATACTTGTCAAGACTTCCATTAGGCATATACTCGAGCACTAAAGCCTTAAAATCAAGGTTGGAGAAACTAGTGATGACTTTCACAAGATTCCTATGGCGAAGGCTACGCAAAACTTCACATTCTGTATCAAAACTCTTGAATGCCGCTTCCAGTTGCAGATTGAACACTTTAACTCAGATGGTCGTTCCACCTCTGAGAGCGCCTTTGTAAACAGAGCCAAAACTTCCAGAACCAATCAGATTACTCTCGCTAAGCGAATCAGTTGCTTGGAGCAGTTCATAGTATGAAATTCTTTCTGTTGTTGCAATAGACAATGAATCAGCTTGTTGAGGAGATCTTTTACCTCTTCTATACCTTACCCATAGGAACACAAAGGCAATGGGAACAAATACAAGTGCTATTCCCAGCACAAGAAATAGAACAAGCATTTTATTCCTATTTGATCTGTGCTTTGATGAAGTGGGGCATGGAGGGACGCTAAATCTTGAAGAACCACACAGTGCTTCATTGTTGATGAAAAACAGACTTGAGAGGTTCTTGAAAGAACCCCCGAGGGTATTTCACCATGCAACTTGTTGCCAGAAACATTGAAATACTTGAGGTATTGAAGTTTCTCCAAAGACATAGGAATGATTCCTGATATATTATTATGAGAAAGGTCTAGGAATTCCAAACCTATCATGTTGCTGACTGAGTCAGGTATAGATCCTTGTAACTTGTTGTGTCTCAAAGAAAGATGCACCAGATTTTGCAATCCTCCAATTTCTCTAGGAATTCCATTTGAGAATTGATTCATCGATAGATCCATCTGTATCCCACCTTTTAGATTTCCAATTTCCGGAGGTAAAGAACCAACCATGTTGTTTGACGATAAGTCAAGAAGCACTAAATCTTTAAGATTCCCCAAGCTTGTTGGTATATTGGAACTCAATTTATTGGAAGCAAGATATATCAATCTAAGGGAAGTAACGTTCCCTAAACAATTAGGAAGAGATCCTGAAAGTTGATTTTGTGCCAAGTAAATTTCACCCAAATACTGCAATTTACAAATGTTATCTGCAATAAATCCTGTAAGTTTTGTTGTACTGAAAATACATACGCTGAAGGTTTCTCAAGTTGTGAGTTGATGTTGGAATTGATCCAATTAAGTTATTATCAGAAAGACCAAGGTCTAATAAGCTGCTTAAGTTTCCAACTTCATTTGGAATCTGGCCGTTAATCTTGCTAGCAGCGGCATAAAACTTTACAAGAGATTTGGAGAAGTTCCCTACGGAGACCGGAAGCATGCCATTTAGAGGGTTGAAAGATAGATCAAGAACTCTTAAATTTCTGCAATTGTTTAAGGAAGTGAGGAAGCTTAAAAATGAATCACTGGTTAAATTGTTTCCCTGCAAGTTTAGGAAGTGTAGATGAGTCAAATATCCAAGAGAATTGGGAATCAAGCCACTGAGTTTGTTATCTGAAATCTCTAGATTAGTAAGCTTTGAACAATTGGAGATAGAATGAGGAATAGTCCCAACAAGATTGGTTAAGTCACTCAAATAAAGCTCTTCAATGTTGGGTAAGGTTGAACCTTTGTTTGATGGTAGAGTTCATGATAGATTATTGAATGAAAGAGCCATTTTTCTCAGTCGTGATATGTTGAATTTCTCCATTGGAAGTGAACCACTAAAACTATTAAACCCAAGAGCAAGTTTCTGCAACTCAACGAGATATCTTATCTCTTTGGTTATTTCACCTGTCAACACATGAAGAAAGAATGAGTTTAACTCGCTAGCTAGTTCAATACAGGTTTGCTATCACTTTGAATACGAACCAGTAAACCTATTTTCGCTTAGATATAAAAATTGCATCTTGGTTAAGTTGCCAATCTCCTGTGGTAAGGATCCCTTGAGATTGTTACTCCCTAGTGAAACAACTTGCAATGAGGAGATATTGAATATGTTGATCGGGATAGAGCCAGTTATCTGGTTCTCTCCACGGCTAAGGTCACCAAATTAACAAGATTTCCAATTTCTTGTGGAATTATCCCTGAATTTAATGTGTAATTTTAAAAAAATCTGAGGTGATTAGATACAATAGTAGTAGCATTCATAAAATAAAACATATATACCTGTGAAATGGTTGGATCTGAGATACAGTCTCTGCAAGTTACTCAACCTTCCAATTTCACTATGTATTGGTCCATTAAAATCATTTCCGGATAGAGACAATATTTGAAGTTGTGAACAATTTGACAAGCTTGTAGGAATATGACCATCAAGCTTGTTTCTGGATAGATGAAGCCTTTTGAGAATTGAGAGACGATTGCATAAACCATTGGGAAGATTTCCTGATAAGCTATTGTTTGAAAATGTAATGAATTCAATTCTAGAAATATTGAATATTGTGAATGGTATAGAACCCGTAAGCTGATTATGTTGTATGGACAACGATTTCAGTAAATTGGCAGATATTACTAAAGTCTCCAACCTTGAGGCATTCGAGAGTGACGTGGGAATGAAACCAGTGAAACTATTATTTCTAAGATTTAAAACTTGAAGTTGTTTTAAAAACCCAAACCAAGAAGGAACCTCCCCACTGAATTTGTTCAAACTTAAATCAAGAAACTTAAGCTGACGTAAGCGTACCATTTCTTGAGGCAAATTTCCATGGAAATTGTTACTTCCCAAGTTAAGAGAAACAAGAAATGTGAGATTTCCAAAATCACGGGGAATCCTGCCGGTAAGAGTCATGTCGGAAAGATTCAAGGACTTCACTCTCTGGTTACGATAGTCACAAGTGACTCCTATCCAATGACAAACAGAAATATTCAGAGACCAACTTTCATCCAAGTAATGAAAAGGGTTGGAACTAATTTGGAATTTCAAAGAGAGAAGAGTTAATTGATCCGTAGAAACATTGGTACGAATAATCATGGCTGAACTAGGCATAACATAGTGAAGCAACAAGAGTGGTATTGTTGACAGAAAAGATCTCAAGGCTTTCTCCATATATTAGTGTTTAGGAGGCTTTTCTTTGGAATCTTTTTTCAAGGAAAAAGGAAAAACTACTTTTCTTCATTCATTCCATCATTCAATGTAATAAGTAGATAGATATTCAAGTACCGTTGAAACCACTCATTTTAGATAAGTGGATAAATTAGCAAAACTTTCCATTGTCTTGTTGTTGTTGTTGAGATGATAATAAAAAGGACAAAAAAGAATGTGAATCTACCAAGTCTTGCTTTCATTTTCAACTTCTAACCATTGGTATAAATTTATGAATTTTTATCATTATGTAGTGTCATATATATAGTTTTTCTCTGTTCCATATTAAGTGAATTTATGAGGCAATACATATTCATTAGGAAAAAAAAAATTAGAATATAAACGGAACATCATTTTTCACTTTTGCCCTTTTAATTATTCTCAAATTACTTTTGAAAATATTAATAACTCAAAGTAAAATCATAAATATGAGCAATTAACTATCTTAAAATTATCACCTGAAAATTGTAAATGAGGAGCAAAAATGAAAAAAAATAAAATGCAACAACTCTTTTGAATTTTGAACAATCCACTTAATTTTTAACATTAAAAAAAAGGCTCAATAATTTACTTAATATGAAACAGAGGAAGTATCAATGTTTATCACTTTGAAAGCAGAATCAAGATACAATATCTTTTGGTTATTTTTTGCATGTGTTTTTATTTGTTAATTCTATAGTTGTTAACTGTGTAACTTGCTAAACTTTTATGTAGAAGTATATGCCTTGAGATAGTGAAGCTTTAACAATATTTAAGTAAATTTCATATTTTTTACTAATTGATAGGGACTAATACACGTATATTTGTATAAAAAACATACACTAATTTCATACATTTAGAATTGTTCAAGTTCATTTCAAAGTTAAAAAAAATCATATATCATATATATATATATATATATAAAAGAGAACCCTAGATCTGCCTTGGCGCCACCACAAAGCAGGATTCCCTTTTAATTTATTTATTTCCAAAACTAGCCTTCCCCTTTCATGAAAAGTTGTGATTTTTATGAACATTTGTGACTTTTATAAAGAGTAGCGACTTTTATGATGAGTTGCGACTTTTATGAAAAATTGCGACTTTTATTAAAGGTTGTGACCTTTCCGATAAGACACAATAAGCATTTGTTCACACTACCTTTTGTTGTCTATAAATAGAGGAATTTCCTCTCATTTTAAAACAACGAAAATTTTGAACTTCTTCTTCTTCTTTTGGACAATTAAATAATTGTGTACTTTGCTCCTGCTGAATGACTCACTGACACCATTTTTTGTATCAATACACTGGTAAATAGAATCGTTCTTTCCTAATAGGATCTATTCCTTTAAATCTCGGGGACTATGGGGGACTAATTTCCTTAAGAGGGACGCTATGCATTCAGTGGGCTCAATTTTTTTCATTCTGTTTCATTCTATTGTTAGAGATCCTGGTGTTTTATTTAAAAATAATAGAAATGACTGGTTTTAAGGGTCGCCACTTAATTTTTAAAGGAAAATTAAGAAAACTATCTTTTCAAAAGATAAAAACAGTAAATCGGTTGAAGATATTAAAAGGGGGTTCGGGGTTCATATTAGTATTTCGGGAAGGGTTTGAAAGCACCCGAAATACCTGCTAACACGCGGTTATCCGATAATTAACTATTTGGCTAAACGGTTTTAAAATAAGAGCATACATGACTAAGTTACGAAAATAAACCATTTGAAACTTGAATTTATTTTTATTTTTATTATTATTATTATTTTTTGGGAAAGGGAAGTATTATAAGGGCATTTACTTAAGTGAAATATAATAAATATTCTAAAGGTCAATAAAAAATGAGTTTGTTTTAATTTCAACTCAAAACGGCTTTCTTTTGGGGAGTTGAATTTTTAGAATCTTAAGATTAATTTTGACAAATAAAACATATAATAACAATTGAATAGATAAGGAAAGAAAGTTTGGGCCCAAGTCTGGATCTGTCTGCCTGGGCCAATACTTGGGCCTACTTTCATTTTGGGCCTTTGGTTCAATTCTTGTCCATTTTTTGTACCTATCCTAGACTAAGTTTCGAAACTTACTTCTTTGGGCCTTAAGCCCATCTTCCACCTGTCCTAAATTCTAACAAGATAGTAATAAATGAAATGACAAGGGCATAGGCCCAAAACAATAAAATACAATCTCTTTTTATATAAAGAGTGGGCCTTTGGCCCAATCTTTTCAATTCTCCTCGGCATCGAATTCCTTCAACCCTGTTCATCGATTTTTATGGCTTGGCTGACTCGACCAAGAGAGGATATTGGGTCTTTATGGCCCAATCAACGGAATGCAAGGAAAGGGTCTTCTAAGACTCGGGAGAAGCCGATTCATACATAGAAAAGAACAAAACAAGATGGAAATTAGAAAGGAAGCACACTCAAGCTTATATGATAAAATCAAAACACATAAAAATGAGAAGCAATATACGTGTGTGAATGGCTCACGCTGCCGATATTACATAAAAATGAACTTAAAGAATGCGTGCAACACTTAAGGAAAATCTTTACTTGGAATTAAACTAACTTCGTATGATGAGGTAAAGCACCCAAAATAGTGATGACCAAACGGTTAAAACTAACAGTGATTAAATGATTATTTAGACAAAGATGAGGCCAAGGAAAATAATTATTAATCAAGAATGGAGTGAACTATTGGAATTGATATTATTAAGTTTAGAATGCAACATGAGCCATAATATGATAATGAGAGGAACTGAGTTCCAGAATCAAAGAATAGGGAAGAAAATTAGTTTAAAATAAAATAAACAACCACCTTCAAAACAAATTTCTTCCTAGCACATGGCAATCCTCAAACAATGGCAAAATATAGCATCAATACTTCATACTAAGAAAAGGCAATAATAGGCATGTGTGTTAATAATACAAACTTGGTGCATTTTTTAATACGAGCAAAGCAGCATGTGAAATTGATAAAATATGCTACGGTTTTTGATGAAATTTTAGGCGTGAACAAGAGAGGAAATTTTAGCATTTTTCACAACTTCAAATAAAGAAAAGATGGAAGGGGTGGACGTGCTTCAACATTTTTTTCAGGGCATCAATCCAGCAACAAAACAATAATGCACCTAACAGAATGGAGACCGCTATTTTGAGATAAATTAAACATGAAAGCTGAAGAGACGAACATTTCGAGGTTGATTTAGAAAGTAACACGACAAAGACCAACAAAAGCTAAATCTAAACAATTTAGAGAGTCAAATTACAAGGCTCAAGGTTAATGACGTAAACAAAACTTTACTTTCTGTAGGCGAACTCAAAGCTAGGACGATTCATATTTGCAGCTCAACATGTAACGAATGATAGATTCCAACTGCGACTTTCGTATTTTTGAACTAAAATCAGATTTTTTTATTTTTTACTTTTAAACCACACAAATGATAGCTTTGCTAACTAGAGTGTATAAATAGCTACTGTAACATCAAACACACAACAATAAATCAACAATTGATCTAGAGATTAACTACAAGAAAACTAAAGCAAACGACATATTTAAGCTAGAACATGGATGGCATCTTCTAATACTAAAAAAGATGAAAATAAATAAGTAAATAGGCAAAAACCGTGGGAGGAACGGGACGTATCTTATATCGAATGGAAATCATTTATAACACAAGATGACCCTAAAAATTGACACAAACTTAAATCTACGGATGAGAACTTACACACATAAACTCGGAAAATTAGTGCGAAAAATCATTTCCTTTGACACGTCTAGAAACACATAACAAGACATGAATACCTACCCCACAAATAAGAACAGAACAATATCCTGGTGATTAATCAGTGAACAAGCTAAAATCCAAGGCGAGCATAATAGTCACGAACTCAAGAAGAGAACAGGGAAAACAGGTTCAAACGCGCATTAAATCACCTTGAAAATGCAATATACACTACCAGCTTTCAGAAAGATCAGGATGAAGAGAAAAACTCAGCTTTGAACATATCAAACAAGATGCCTTTTGAATCGACAAAGAACAAAACACGATTCAACACGCTCAAACTCGAGATGAACAAAAGAGCTACTAGTTGTTTACCTTGTTCGGTGCAGCGATCCGGGGGCAAGACGAGCAGCAGAGCAACCTTCCACCACAAGAAAGTTCGAATATAAACAGTGAGTAAGTGATTCGGGCAGAATCTCGGACTCACGAAAGTTGGACAGCGATAACAGATGAGAAAGAAGAATGACACTCCGAACGTGTTTTGTATAACAATCGATGCTTTCAAGGATTTAATATCAGTTGTTTGATGATCAAATTGTGAACTTGTCTTAAGTCAAGCTTTGAATTCCCGGGACATGAATCATTATTTTTCAACGGCAGGAGCTGAAGAGTGGTTATTTGTTGAATTTTAGCGAATGATTTTCCCTTTATTGTTTCAAGCACTCACTCAGGTCTCAAGTATGAAATCTATCCATTATTTTCAAGACACTGATAAAGCAATAAGTATATGAATGTGTAGCTCACTGCATGATTTGTTGCCCGCAACATGTTCGACGTTTTGCCTCAATGAATTTCTGCAAATTGTTTTGTGTTTTCTACCAAGTCTTAACTGTTCAACAATGTACGATTTTGTGTCGGTCGAGTAGTTTGCTTGCATTACAAATTACAACCTTGGATGAGATCCTTCTTCATATATAGCATTGCATGAATGCATTTTTTGTCATTGCTCTTTTTGTTTGTTGTCTTAGTGTTTCCCATGTAAAACATTTACTATATTACTTGCCTATTTGTATTCATATAGTTTATTCCTCTAACAATTTACAAAAAGATCATTCTGCTTCAAGATTTTCAAGATGATCAATTTGGTTTTAGTTATTTAATTTACTTATTCTACCATTTTGCAACACTAATATTGAGGAAACAGTGACATTTATTGCAACCAACTAGCATTTCTGAAAACAGAATCATGCACAAATCAAGTGCTAAAGCAAAACAGAAAAAGTGATCGATTTGAAACAAGAGATTCTGAGAAAATGCTCAGCATGCAAGAAGTTGAATCTTGATCTTCTGTAGCATCCCTACAACATCTTTCATGTTTGTCCTTCTTGCCAGAGATTCAGCACAGCAATCTAATGCCACTTTCATGATTGATGCCATAACATCTAGCTCCTTCTGTAAGCGATTATCCATTGGTGTAACCAGGTTGGCATCCATAACGTCCATTACTGCCTCTGGGAGTGAATAACTCACCCATTGCTTCATGCTAAGATTTCCCTCAAACTCACTAGGCTTTCTCCTAGTAAATGTTTCCAGCAACATAATCCCGTAACTATAGACATCACATTTTATTGACACCAGTCCATCCAGTCCATACTCTACAGTCAAACAATTAATTAAAAGATGCAATATACTTTCTTGATTGGAAAAAAAGAATAAGAGGAAAAATCAATGTTCAAATTAGCAAAAACAAAGAGACGTACCCGGTGCTATATAACCAAATGTTGCTAAGGTTTTTGTGTATAAATCACTCTCATCTTCACCGAGCAATTTTGAAATACCAAAGTCGCTTAGGTGGGCAACCATATCCTCATCCAACAAGACGTTACTAGGCTTTATATCGCAATGAATCACAGGAGAGGAGCATCCATGATGGAAATATTCCAACGCACATGCCACATCTATCATAATACTTAGTCTCTGCATGATGTCTAGGAAGTAGTTGTGCGAATACAAATACTTGTCAAGACTTCCATTAGGCATATACTCGAGCACTAAAGCCTTAAAATCAAGGTTGGAGCAACTAGTGATGACTTTCACGAGATTCCTATGGCGAAGGCTACGCAAAACTTCACATTCTGTATCTGTCACGCCCCGAGCCTACACCCTGGGCGGGACCGGCACTCGGAGATCATCGCTGGCCCCAAGCGAACCATTGGCCTGGCTTTCTTAATTCAGCGGAACTTAACTCAACAGCACATCTTAATGCAAAGAAAGGTTATAAACAACCAACTGATAATCACTGGCCAAAAAGGGCCACTCGAGTCTCAAAATAGAATAGTAATATATATATACATAGATGAGAGACTCAAAGCTAACTGACTGACTGTCTATGACTGAGATGGATGTTGGGACAGACCCC